CCCCCGCCCCTCCCTGCCGCCCCCGCCCCTCCCTGCCGCCCCCGCCCGCCGCACCGGGCTGTTGCAGGCCTCGCGAGAAGTGAGGCAATGTAGCCCTCTTAGCGCAGTTGGCAGCGCGTCAGTCTCATAATCTGAAGGTCCTGAGTTCGAGCCTCAGAGAGGGCATTTTTTTTTTTTCTGCTCCGTGCCGGGGGATGCGCCGTGCCGCGAGGCGTGCCGTTTTGCAGCAGCGCGTGACCGCCGGCAGGGCGGCCCCATGCGGAGCTCGGTGTTGGTTTTGGTTGGACCGGCTCCCCGCTGGACTCCACATGCAGAGCCCAGGAGCGGAGCTGTGAGATGCAACAAAACGAACAGTCGCACAAACAAAACGGCAATTCTAAACGATAAAGAGAAGCGCGCTGCCCTCTCTGAGGCTCGAACTCAGGACCTTCAGATTATGAGACTGACGCGCTGCCGGCTGCGCTAAGAGGGCTGCGACAGCACGCCTATTCTCGGGTCCTGCAGCGCGCCGCCGTGCGCCCGGGCGGAACTGCGCCCCCTGCTGGCAGTGGGCGGGGCGAGCGGGCGGGGCGGAGGGCGGCGGGAGGGGTCGGGGTAAGACCGTTCAGGGCAGGACGAGGTGGCCGAGTGGTTAAGGCGATGGACTGCTAATCCATTGTGCTCTGCACGCGTGGGTTCGAATCCCACCTTCGTCGCTACTTTTGCCACAGCCCCGGCTGAGTGCAGGTGCGCTGCCTCCTCATCCGGGACCGCAGAGCTAGACCTACACAGCAAACCCTGAAGGAGCTTGGCTCCATCCTCTTGCCACTCCCCCTCCTGATGTTTAGGAAGATCCTCTCGGTATTTTCTTCTCCAGGCTGCACAGCCCCAGCTCCCACAACCTGTCCTCATGCAGGTGCTCCAAACCCCGACCATCTTTGTGGCCCACCGCTGGATTCTCTCCAGCTGTTCCCTGTCTGCCTTGAACTGGGGAGCCCAGACCTGGACACAGCCTTCTAAATGTGGCCTCACCAGGGCACAGCAGAGAGGAGGATCACCTCCCTCAACCTGCTGGCCATGCTCTCTGTAAAGCACTCCAAGCTCCCCCAGGCTACTTTGTGTGGTTAGTTAGCACCACATTGAAATAGTCTTATTTATGGACAGACCTTTTGATCAGCAACACAGGAACAAATTCCACCAACAAAAATATTTATTAGATACAAAAAAACATTTACATGAAACAATGAAGACGGTGTGAAACAGCCATTGTAGCAGTTGAATTCTGGCTTAAGAGATTCCCAGGAGCAGCAGGCACAGAGCGCAGCACGGCTCTCTGTAACTCAGGAGGCTGATGCACGGTCACAAAGTTCAGCTCAACAGAACGCTGAGTATGAACAGCTCAAAGCACAAGTGCTTCAGTTTAAGTCACTATTGCTATCCCATGTGTAAGAGGAAACCAAGGAAAAAGTAATATATTTAAAATTAATTTTGGAAGGCAGGTGACAGATTTGAACTGAATTCCAAACAAAATTAGAAGCAAATCTGGCCAATGATCTCTGACTGGCTGACAAACGTTTACTGCCCAAGCAGCAATAATTGTATTTCACGAGGCAGGACTGTCCAAGAAGCATCATCTGCTGCTGTTTTAACTAAAAAAAGAGAAAGGTTACTTGTTCATGGCTGCAGTACTCCAGGACTACATCTTCTCACTACTTACAAGTAACCAATATTAAATTTAAAACAAGAGGTCTTCAATTTTCAAAGCCACAGCTTTATAGAAACTGGAGAATGTAGGTAGTCTGCTCTGCCAAAAAAAAAAAGGCAAATCTTTCTTCCACAGCTATTTACTGAAGAAAATATCCTGCTTTTCCAGCATGACAATTACACTGTAGAGTAATAGGTTTGTTTTAATGCTGTATGTACTCAACGTAACAAAACTTGGGCCTGGCAGCCCAAAAATCCGTCTGAATTTGCATAGAGCACTTCAATAAAATAAAATACAGCAAAGTGGTGTAACACTACTTGATAATGGGTATTGTACACACTTCTAAGCAGAAAAAAAAAAAAAAACAAAACAACAAACAAAACATATCAAACCAAGGTGCTGCTGCAAGGTAGCGTCTGCATCAAGAAGCAGGGAGCTGGGGCTGTATCCTGAGGACCGTGTCTGTGGAGACCAATCCTTCTGATGCTTCCAAGGGTCCTTACTATGTGAATACTTTCTCCTGGTGATGTTATATTTACTCACATGCTGCCCACAGAGCGATTCTCCAACTCCTCCCAGCAGCAGTATCCTTATCCGCATTTCTATTCCTATAGAAATTGACTTCCAGTTGTAACAAAAAATACTGGCTCTGCAACAGCGTTCCTTAGCATGGTACAAAGCTTCAGAGGCAGGGGAGATAAAACTGGGTGCAAGGAGAGCATCAGCAGAACTCTGCACAAACCGAGGCAGTCAACATGAGAGTTGGTAGGAAGAAAAGCTACAGCACATCAATTTAAGGCTTCCTACAGCAGCACTCAACTAGTCTCCACATCCATGAAACAGGACAGCTTCAAAGGAGTTCCCAGGCCAGCCAAATCTCAGCAGAGAGCCAAAGGAACACAGCGAGCTCCAGCACATCATCTCTGCAAGGCAGCCACACAAGAGCTGCCCAGACCCAATGTCTGCTTTGCTTTTCTCCCAGGTCATTTGCTTTTTCTGCAACATGCCCCAGAAGCTCCTCTTTTGAATCACCCAGACCTAGATTTCTTCACCAAGCCTCTTGATCCACACCTGTGCTTTACTTCTGCTCAAATATCCACCATGTCCATCAGGGCAGAGAGGTGAAGCTCAGAAGCAACTTCACCCTCCCTGTTAGCTCTGAGGAGCCTTTGCAAATGCTTCAGTCTATCCGACAGCGCAGGGCTTCGGTCATCCACTGACAGCTCAAGTCTTGCTTCACTCCCATCCTGGTCAGAAGGAAAAGAGAGATGAGACTGAGAAAGAAGCATTATCTAGCATTAACATGGGACCTTTCCATTCACTGACCTCCCACTTTTCAGAACAACAAAGGAGGCCACCTCCGACCCCCCAAGGAGACCTGGTTAAAATAGCGTGTTCTGCTATTTCTGGAGCCAGCATTCCTGGGTCCATTCCAAAGCCAAAGGTGTAGCCTCAGCCACCACCACGACTCCCTGTGTGCAACACTACAAGGGATACTATTACGACTGCCAGCAGCAGACAACAGTTCATCATACATTCTAACAGCATTTCAGGTCTACAGAAAAGTATGAGCCTCCCTGGGAAGTTTGTACACTAGGGCACAGTTTTTCAATTCTTCATTTCCCAAACCTACGCAAAACTGCACAGTAAGGTTGCAGCCACTGAACTTCTGTGATTACAGCTGGTTTGGCACCCACACAATACTCTTCAGAGCCAGTTTTCACTACCACCATGTCTTACCTCTTGAACAGATGACATGGGACTCTTGATCAATGGACCAGCAAGAGTTGGAGTGGAGATCAGGGACTGGGGAAGGTAGAGAGGAAAGCCCACGAGGTCACCAAGGGGCTCAATGTCCTCAGCTAGATATTGGTGCAACTGTTCTTCAAACCTGAAAAGAAAGGACAAGAACACCAGTCAGACTGCAGCCTGGTTTTGTTCTTGTAACCAGTGGGTAAGACATGAATTGGGAATTCAGAGGTGTCTGAAAGAAAGAACCAAAGTCAGCAGTCATTTCCAGCAGACAGCACCCACTGCTATTACAAAAATACACTGCTGAAAGACATGGCTCAGAAACAACCTGAGCAAACTGAAGACTTCCAACTGATGGAGAAAGGAGAAAAGAGAGGAAACCCTTGAGCCAATCTCAAGAACTTCAGTTCTTTGACTTTGAGATCTGCATTGCTACTAGCACCAAACCAACATTCCCATGGTGAACTTAACAGACCCCATGGACAGAGACTACTGAGCACTGCATATAACTATGCAGCTTTAACATTAGTGGCTTCATTGACCAATTTCCAATCATTACTCAGAGCTCCACTAATTTCTATCATGCTGGACTGTAACAAAAGTAACAGCTAGCAAGGAACTGCACTGAACTGATGTACTTGATGAGTATGTGGAAGTGGAGACAGACCAGGAAACAAGCCTACACTCCTAGTACTGCTGGACTTCAGCTTTCCAATGCATACAGGTTCGCGATTGCTAACAACCCTGGATGGGAACAGCAAGGATAGGATGGTGCTCTTGTAACTCACCTCCTGCTTTCCATTTTCTCCAGTTTTAATTGAGTTAACAGGCGCTCTGGGAGGTCCTGGGCTGAAGCTGTGAGTTCATCTGCACTGGAAATGTTCCTTCCTTGCCCTGACAGAATGCTTACACCAGCACCATACTGATCTGACATGGAGACCCTACAGGGTTTCTTGAAAGAGACAGGAGATTTTACCCTTGACCTGGAATGGGAGGAAAGAAAATACAAAAAAAATGTTATGAGTTTGTTGATTCTTCCCTACTAGCACAGAAATTCCAGGAAGTAAATGACTGTTAGCAAACATGATCTCCTTTTACCCCAGTCTAACAAACCACCACTGGGAAGCAGGACTTGAGAGAAACTGACAGAGGGTTGGGATTCAGTCCAATGAAATATAGCCACCCAATCTGCATGGGTGTAGAGAAGCAAGCTAGGCTCTTGAGAGCTCTCAAATCTCTTACCCCAAAACTCAAGCACAAGTTCTCTTTTTAAACTCAAAACACTGCAAAGTTAATATGCAATTGCCAAACAAAGTGAATTTGCAACCCGTTTAACAGGTCCTGGCCACAACCAAATGCAAAGAATAAGGCACTACCAAATAAAAGGGGTGCTAATTATTTTTATCCCTATGGTCTTCCCCTACACCTCACACCATTTTAGTTCCAGGCTTCATCTACCTAGTGGACAAGTTTAATTCCAAAGCCACAGCAGTGACTTCTTTGGCAGAACTTCAGTTACAACACTTTGAGCAGCTGCTCCAAGCAACCCCATTTCTTCAAGAGAAGCAACCCTAAAAATCACATCTAATTACAGTCTAATTTCCAACAAATCCCTTGTACATCCCTTTGGGAAGACGTACAAAAGAACACTGAGAAAATGTCAATGCTGGTTCTCGGCACCATAGCACTATGCAGCTTTGTCAGAGGCCCTAAGTAACCTCATTGGAGT